TCTTTTAAAGAAAAAAAAAAAATTTTTTTTTTAAGTTTGTAACCCTAAACATTAATTCTACACCAAATCCAATTATCAGTTAACATTTTTCAACTTCCAAAGATACAGCTTACCTGATCCAGAATGAAATTTCTCTTCTTTCGGGCAGCAATCTCAATAAACTTTCCAAGACACTGTGGGGCTCTCTGCAACAATGTGTTCAGTTTTCCAGTATCTGCCATTTGCTTCTTAAAACCTGCCACCTATATTTTCAAAAGTTAAAAATTTTCCTTTAAATTTGTGAATCTCAAGTTTTAAGACTTTAATACCAGCCTAGATCTATATGAAAAGCAGGCAATTATAATTTACTATCTTCATCTATTATTGCTATAGAAAAAAGGTCACTTAATCATGTAAAAAGACCCTATGCTATTCAATCCTATTTAGCCACAAGATGCTCAAGAGTTCACACACAAAAAAAAAAATCCACAGAAAAAACACAAGCCTAGCCACTGGAAGGCAGTTTACCTTACACATAAAGAGCTTAAGTAAAATAATTCTTAATTAAGTCCACACACCTACCTTTAAGATATTATATTAACAAAATGGATAGTAATAATGGGCAAGAGTTACTTACCTAGAATACCTCCTGGTATATTTTAAATTTTGCTGAGATCAGGCCCTGAACATTTTACTTACCATCATTTTATCCATAATGGTATTTGTTCCAAGAATGTTGTACTTCCCTGGATTTTCTGCTGCATGTTTAGTAACCCAGGTAGTTTTACCAGCTCCTGGCAAGACAATCATCATCACAACTTCACAATCTTTCTTTTCTTCAGGTCCCTTTGGTCCTCTCACTCGATCCTCTAAGGGAACATTCTGGATGAAAGTATATTCTTCAGGTATTGGAAAATATGGCTTTTCCTTCTGACCAAAATTAAATTCAACTGCACTGTTGTGGCAGAGAACGTGTGGGAAGAATGGCCGTCCAGCAAGAACTTCCTTACTGATTTTGAAGGCAATGCCAAGATCTTGTCCATTCTTAGCATAGGAGAGTTCTACTTCATCACTTTCAAAGTTAGCAAAACACGTAATCACATCATTTTCATCAAATTTCTCTCCGTAATCTTCAGTCTCACAATTGCATGTTTTTATTCCTTTTAAAGAACACCCATAAGAAAATTCTTCTTCACCAAGCAACATTCCACTCGTGGTTAGTGACCAGCCAATTCGAACTTCATGGATGTCAATATCTTTTGTATATAAATGCCTTACTGGGATCTTCTCTGTAACCTGAAAATCATATCATTAAATGATTAAACTATAAACCCAGGAAGGTAAAACGTTAACTCTGGCTTATTTCATATAGACTATGGGCTAATTCTTCTCTAGCTGTTAGACAAAGACACCCAACTCTGCCTCACCTTTCCCCTCCCTATCCAACAATTACAAGAACTTTAAAAACTGATATAAGTGCCTACAACTTGAAATTGAAAAAGTTTGAGTTAAATATTTGACTGACTCACATTTGGAAGAATAGTTGGTGTTTTTAAGGCTTATTTCTCAATTCTCAACTTAAAGCCAGTTGCGATATACCTTTAACGTGTTTTTCTAACAAAACAGGAATCTAACCAAATTTTTCTTTTAACTCTTTGCTGGCCATTTCAAGTGCCTGATAAAATGACCTGGCTCTATATATGGAAAATCCTGATATAACAAACTTGTTTGTCTCAAAAAACAAAGATTCTAAAGTCCCTAATTCACAAAAAACTGACACTTAGCTGTGTCAGGCAAATGAAAATTCACTAAGGTTCTTTTAAAGAAAAAAAAAA